TCAGAAGATTCAAAGAGCATACCGTAATAAAACTAGAAGAATTTGTGAATGTTCCTAGTACAAATGCTAATTTAGAAATAATCTCACGAGCAGCCAGGGATTTGGAAGGATTTAGGCATTTCCTTGAAAGTAATGTAATTGACACTTCCTTGTTAGAAGCCCTTAGAAGTCAGCAACAACAGCAAAGTCAAGAGCAACAACAGCAACGGGTAGAAATTGAAACCCAACAAAATAACAAGTCATAATAGATGAATTCTTGCATTTAATACTAAAAATTATATGTATATTATCTATGAATGCATGATTATTAAATTTAACAATATTTTTTATCCAAAATGATTTCTTTGATTCTTTAATTCTTCGATAATTATATAATTGTCATCTTATTATGTGTCTGCATAATCACAATTTTATTCTTAAATATCAGACCTGATATGCCTTGACTAATAACCATGAATAGCTAGATTACTTTTATTCAAAGCACAAAACTTTGCCTAACAAACTGAAAATGCTAGTTCTGGTTCATTTAGAACATTGGTGCAGAATCATGTGTTCTGCTCCTATTGTGTGTTATAACGAAAAAAATTATTTTTGAAATAATTAATTTTTCATATTTTAAATCTTTTGAGCTGAATTCATTATGTGAACTGAACAAATTATATTAATTATTGTTCCAGATAATATATAATGCACCAAATTACTGCATTTGAAAAATAATCTCAGATTAAATTGAATTTGCCAACAAGTTTATTTGATTTGTTGATGCATGCCATATGTATGAAAAACTTTAATGTTTCAAGCCTTTACTTTATCTTGAGTAACAAAATTCGATTGACTTATTTATTATTTAACTTATATTTGAGCACTCAAACCATAAATTGATATAAATTTACTTGTTTTTAATATACAAAGTTTTCGTAATTTTATTGCATATAAAAATAATTTATATTGTATTTTAGACAATTAAAATTATATTTGCGTGAATCGGCAAAGCCTAGACTTTCACATTAATCATTTTAAGACTTATTGTAACATGTATTGATAATCCAAATCGCAGTTTAACTGGAGTTTGAACTAAGAATGGCCGAATTTAGTCAATTGATTGTGCATGTCGAAATTCATATTTAGCCAATCAAATCAGATACTTGTGATACTTGCTGATCACTAAATAATAAATTTTAGTGACATATACATATATTGATTGTTTTTTTATATAGTGAAAACATTCAGCCAATATATTAACATCATACATTAAGTTTGAACAAGGATAGTGATGAGAAAATTGCTGGTAATATGTAATTAACGATTTGTTTTTTGGTCCTTCTTTCAAACCCTACACATGTAAACTCGATAGGTCGGTCATTTATTTATTTTATATTAATATCTTATTGTGTGTGTGTAACTAGTCATAATTACCCTAAAAATTTATTTTGCTCCGCCAAAAAAAACTATTTTACTATTCAATAGTCCGTTAAACCAACGATACTAACTCAAAACTAATGGATTATTGCTAGTATAAGGTATTCATAACGTTATAATTATACCATACTGAATTTTAAGGTTCAAACAAAATCGACGCATATGCTCAAAGTACATTTTTTGAGTACCTAGAGTTTTAATAATTTTATTAATTGTGTTATACATGGCATTTTATATAGCAATTCAGCATGTAGAGTAACGTTGGGTAATTGCCATGGTGATTATTCTCAATTCTTTTTTATCATGATGATGATGATAAGACAAAGGGTTCCGAATCTAAAGCATTTTTTTTGGTGACATCACTATACTGATTGTGATATATATAAAACCAATATATATTTAGTCATGCCTTTGATCATTGGTTCGGTTTAATTGGTCAGCTTCAATTTTGTCAATTTTGTCAAATGCGACGAAATTAACAACGGTTTGACGAAATAATTCCCCGCCCTGCAAAGTATTAAACCATGGTTGGTCCCATCTTTACACGAATTCAAAAAAGAAGTACAACTGTCATTATTTAATGAAGGAAAATTAGAGCACTATATATACGGATTTCATCGAGGAAAATATTTTTTTAGTAATAGTAAAATGATAATATTAGCAATGTATGCATTATCTATTGTGTCCTGCTTTCATAGGAACGAAATTGTAAATTAGGCAGAAAAAACAACAAGATTCTAATGAAAAAAGGTCTATGATCCCGATTTTTTTATTATTATCCCGATGATCCTGACATATTAGGAAGGTTTGAGTTAGCTAAAAATAAATTATTGAAATTCGCCGCTATTAAAAACTCACCTTTGTATAAGTTTGAATTTTGAAGTTTTAAAGAGTGCTAAAATCCTATCACGATAAATCAATCACTAGAGTTTGATAATGTTGAAGTTGTTCTTGCAATTGCTTTTTATTTAATTCATTATCAATTAATCCTGATAGAAAAAAATTAAAGTAATCAAATAAAATATTTACTATTCAATCAATTCTCCGCAAAAGGGAACAGGTAATATAAATCGTGGCTGAGCCTCAAATGATAACTTCTCAATAATTTGCTAATTCACTCGTTAGGTTTCACTCTAATCTGTAGAGTCACACAATACCTTGCTTGCTAAACAATTCTTTCATTGGTTTCACTCTAATTTAATATTCCATTAAAAATAATCTAGGCTTTCCTTTTAAAAATAATTTTCAGAGTTCTTTTAAAGTGAATGAATGATTTCAAATTCTTTCGTTTAATTAACTATTTGTTTAACATTCTTTTTTTTTTTGATCTTTTTATATTGTGAAACAGAAATCTTCAATTAGTAAAAAAACAAAAAAACTAATAATGTGTTTCTAATAGAAGATTTATCTTCAATTGAAAAGGTCCACTTGCAGATTCGGTGGCTTATTACATTACACACTGTATTAAGATTATTTTTCATACTTGATCGAATGATAACTTGGGGTTGGTGAATAAATATTGTATTTTTATATTTTTATATACATTTATATTGTTGATCTTATTATTATCTTATATTTTTAGATGATACATCAAGCTTTAATTAAAGAGTTAGCAGATAAATATGAGGCAAAGACTACAATCTTATTAATTGTTTCACACGTTCATACTATACATGAAGTTGAAATGGTTGAAATTATGTCATATCTAATGATCCAACTTTAATGAAACATGGCTTATTAAAATAATATCATAAAGGTAATATAATGGTGTTTTAATGTTCATAACGATATACAGTAAACAAAAATATCTCATTAACTAGTGATTCGAATGAATTAGACACCTCATTGAGAGAATTCGAATGGTAGTTGTTGTTTTTATCCAAAACAGCCAGATATTGACTTTATTAATAGCAATAAAAAATTATTTTCCAGAAAAATTCCGTAATAATCATTCCATAGTAATAGTAATATCCATTATTATTATTAAAACTACATCTATCCGTTTATCAAAACTCTATTACTCTCTATATAAACTTAAAGGTAGGAAGGTAGGAGAATCATGTGGCAAATTATTTAATGTTAATTTCATTTGATCTATCATTTTTTATCATAACAAAACAAATTCTTTTTATTTTGTAGCCAACATGACTTTTTAATATTATAACTGTCTTCTAAGTAACAAACATGCTCATTATTTATAATCCTTGATGCTTCTGTATTGTTAATATGGGTCAATTATTTAATGGCTAATATCTTTTCACTATTTGACTACACGTGTTGCCATATGATGCGCGGTCGACAATGTTGTAGCATGCATGATACTCGCCCAACTAATGATTTTCAGGATATGTATTTTTCCTAAATATGCCTACCCTATTAAAATATCCTGTGGTTTGTGAAAAATACACAATTATTATTATTATTATTATTATAGATATAATAAATGATATAACAACAATTGGAAATCAACAACATTTATGCAACATCAACACATTATATTATAAAAAATATTTTATTATCTAATTACTCTAATTATTATTTATTAATAATGATTTAATTTTTCCATAAATCTTGTTTTAAAGGTAATTTTTTACTTTGCTCAATTGTATCTAATGATAATTTCATAATTTGGTTGTGAATTTCTGATATTGATTTATTTGCATCTAAAATCTACAAATATTAGAAAGTAAATTGATAAATAAATGCATTTCCCATCAATCAATACATTCCACTTATTTGATTTCTCACCTTCCAAAATCTAGGATCTTCTAATTTTAAAAAATTATCTTTTACTTTTTGCTGAAACTCCAATTTCTCATATCTTTCATCGCCAAAACCTTTTCTTTTCAACAATTCTTCAGAAGGCATATTCATAAAAATCACCATATCTGGTGTTAATAATCCTATATCAGATGATTTACACCAATTAAAATCCAAACCCTAATAAATGTATATATTGTATTTTAATAATTAATTATTTTTTTTTTAGAACAAATCAATATATCATATCTTTATAAATAACAATACTTTTGCAGTAGAATATACGACACCAGAAAATACATAGCGGTCAACTATTAAAGTTGTACCATCAAGAAGATAATTTTTCATTGCTGAACTAAAATATTAAAAAATAATAATATATGAATATATATATTTATAAATATTTATATGTTAATTTATATATTTACACGCGTTCCCATCTATTAGCAGAAAATAATAAATGAACTGCACTATCATCCAAATCTTCTTCATTTTTTAAATATGAATTAATCAATTGTCCAATCAAGGTTGATCTATCTATTATCATTATCATAGTTATCATTATTAAATTAATCTATAAACATTTTAAGATTCTCTATTAAAATTACCAGGAAAACGCATCAATTTAACGTTAACTCCATCATTTTTTAAATGGTCATAAAGTCTTTTTGCTTGCGTTGATTTTCCTGAGCCATCACAGCCTTCAAGAACAATAAGTGCTCCACGGTTTTTATTAGAATTTTCAATAGTATTATTTAAAATGTTTAAAGGCATTTTTTTTTTTTATCCAAAACAAAGATGATTTAGGGGGTGTTATTATTGTCATTATCGTATGACATGTACAACAAAAAAAAAGTATTACGAGCTTTAAATAATTCACTGTTACTATACCAACAAGTTTACAAATGAGAACGTAAAGTAAGTTTTTGCTTTTTACGTGTTACACTATCACACAAGTCTATTTTATAGACAAATTTTTCGCAAACACCGACAACGTATAAATATTTCTCTCAGGCTATTTAGTGCAAGGAACTCATTCAATCTTCTAAATTCGGCCACGACGCTCCCTGTTCTTCATGCAATCAAGATAAAACACGAGTCTACAAGTGAGTATATACGCTATGTGTGCGCATCCAAACCATTATTATAGCGATACAACGTTATCTGTTATTATTATTATCTCTGTTTTACACAGGACATGTTGCCTAATATTGAGCGAACACGGACGTGTTCCAGTCGATGTTCGCGTAAAAATATGCCGTGCGAACGTGTCTGCCGACAACAATGTAGATGATTATAATTATGATGATGACGATGATGATAATTATGATGATGATAATGACAATGATGATGATAAATTAAAAGATTGTCCTTTAAAACCAAAAGATTTATATGAAATTTTTAGAGATGATTTAGAATTTCACGAAATATCTTGGAATATTTTGGGATTGGTAGTTGCTGATAAAACTAATTATTTACATAGTTTATTATGTATTATACAAAGAGTTTTTTGGCGTCCTAAATTGGCATGAAAAATAACAAGGCATGTGATTTTTAAAACGTGCAACATAAAATAGTGTTGAAGCCAGAAACTACTAGGTCAAGTTGTAGTAGTATAATTATTAAAAATGTGAATGTCAATTTGATAAATTCAGGTGAAAAGTTTATCATAATAATTACTCTAAAAAGAATTTTGCACAAAAATAAAAAATATATAAATATATTTTAATCTAAAAATTTACACGTAGGGCATTTATATTATTAATAATATTATATTAAATATAATAAATATATGCATTAAAATATTTATTAATTAAAAATATATATTACTACATATTGATTCATATGTTATCACGTTCATGCAAGTTGCAAGGCAAAGCCTGAAGAAAAATTCCCTGAGCAAATAAGCCTTTAGAATTTCTGTACTTTCCTAATATATATATTCTGTTTTTTCTAATCGATTCATATAAGTGATCTAATGCATACCTTTGGGTTCAGC